GAGTAACTTTCCACTCAGACTGGTAAATACCAGTGGCATTCGGGGAATCTCTTGTGCCTTGTGAAATCCAATCGCCCCCTTTCGTCCTCCTGGAATGGAAAAGCTGGGAGATGATGCCAAAAATGAGCAAGCAGCCATAATGAAACATGTCATACACATCCTGCTTGTATTATATTTCACCTCCACAAATGGGTTTCAAAGAAATCAGAGCATGGAGCAGTAATGACAGAAAGTAATATCTTCAAGAAAGCCAGAGTAATTCATTTTGCTAAGCCTCTCAATCTAATATCAGCACAGCAGTTACTTATATGTCCAGTGTAACTTACACCTCTCTTTAAAATCACATCCAGCTAAAGGAGAGGCCACATGGATTTTTTTTAAAAAAATAAACCTCAGCCATCTGATGAGAGCTTATCATTACTTGCAAGTTAAAACCCTGGAAAAATTCAAGCAAAACTTTGCTTTTACTTCAAATTCGGGGAAGGAAATATGAATTCATGAAAGGTGCTTAGGTGCCTCCTACTGAGTATTGTTTTTAAGGCAAAGTATTGAAAGTGTCAAGAGACCTATTGGATTTCCTAATCTGGGGAAAATCTTCTAATGGGAATTTAGTCACAGCATGACAGCTGAATGTCAAAAATTTCAAATTGTTTACCATTGCTTTTAGAGCCTCGTTCATAACCTCTTAAATAACTTAGGTAAGGAATCAGAGAAAACTAATAGCAACACCTTTAAACTGGTGCCTTGGGGTGCTGCTTTAATCCTATCATATTGTGAAGCAGGATGAGGTTCCATAAAGTTCCCCCAAATGGGATAAAGGAGCCTTTCCTCCTTCACAGCTATCTTTTCCTGATACGGTGATTGCACTCTCCATGGATACCAAGGCCCCATCTACATTGCCATGTAATGCAGTTTCCAAATGCAGATTAACTGCATTGAACTATATTATATGGCAGTGTAGACTCATATAATCCAATTCAATGTAGTTCAATCCACATTATATGAATCTGACCATTATAATTCAGTTCAAATTGCATTATATGGCAGTGTAGATGAAGCCCAAGGCACAATGCACATTTTAAAACTGAGGCAAAAAAATCCCAGGACCTTACAACAGGTCTACACACAGATCTGTCAGTCTCGGGAAATGCTCCCCTGCTGTCCTCACATCTTCCTTTGAAGCCGATAAAAATTCACTCCGTTATGCTCTGGACCTCACATGTGCACATGCAAATACCTTAATATATACACAAGCAGATTTCTTATCTCCCTCTTTACCAAATTTGTTAATTCAAGCTCTGTTTAATATGATAAATATCAAAAAGAAAAGAATGCTTTTGGTGAGTTTTAATTGCTTTCCCATTCTGCTTCCCTTTAGCCACCTGTGTGCCCATGGCTCCATTTTTTGACAGCCCAATTAACTAATCAGCAGCTTTGGGCTTTTAAAGCATACACATATGCTGGAGCAGTCTATACACGTGTTTTTCATGACTGCAGTCATGCGAAGGTATGCATTTTGGGGGCGAAATTGGTTTTTAAGTGCACCTTTTTAAAATGTGCTTTTCAACTGTGAGCCAAATTCTGCCTGCATTTTTTGAAGCGTTATGTAGCCACCTTCCCTTTTATCCTGGTTACTTCTGAGTTTGTAGCCAAATGTAGAATGGCCCAATGAGAAACCAGTGACAAGAACCTATCTTAGCACTCCTTCATTCCCGACAGCCCTAAACTAAAGGTTGGCAACTGAATTAGTAGATTGGTTCAGACGAGGTTTCATTGTTACCTAGAGTTCCAGAATAGCTGTCCATGAAAGTTGAAACATTAATCTATTGATTTTTTTTATATTCCTATCCTCTGCTGTAGAGATGGTAATTCTGTGTATACAATGCAGAGTGTAATAGTCTGAGTATTATGACTACAACTCTGGAGACCAGAATGTGAATTGCCCACTCAACCGTGGAAACCCACAGGGCAAGTCATATTCTCTCAACCTCGGAGGAAGACAATGACAAACCTCTTCTGAACAAATCTACCAAGAACACCCTGTAATAGGATCTCCATGGGTCAAATACTACTTGAAAGCACACAACAACAAAAGAGTACAGGCGGGCTTTGTTGATGAAGGATGGCACATAGGATGAGCAAGATTACCTCCAATGTTGTGAGTGGTGTTATTAGGCCATGTATCTTTGCTGCCAGAGTACATATGAGGATTGAGTAGTTTTTTAAGACTAAGATGTTGTCTGTAAGCAAGTACAGCCCTGTCACCTAGAGCCATTTAGAGGGCCCTATTCTTCTCCAGAACGGAGTATGTTTTTAAAAATAATTGATTGGTTTCAGCTGGGAACTGTATGTGACCACCTGTAGTATTTTCTCATTATTTATTCCATTATATATTGTTCACAACTCATGTGGAGTTTGTTTCTGTTTGATATTATGGGAAAAGTGTAGATTTGTGCTGAGTTGTTATTTTTCTCCTCTGATTGTTTCACAGATGTAACCTTGTTCTTGTGATTTCTACAAGCATAATTTAGTACCATATGGTCAAGAAGGTAGAAACCATTTTCCAGCACAGTTGCATTTTCCCCCACCTATGGACACACTTAAACCCTTACATAATCTAATCCATCAGTGCCATTTAGTATTTAATAATTTATAGCATCACTAATCCACTGCCTTTACTGCCTGACCCCTTTTGCCGCACCACATTTGTGCCATTCATCCTCTAAAACTTTTAATTTCCAGGTGTTTTTTTGGACAGTAATTTAAAAAGCACATGTTTCTGAGCAGACTTCTTAAAAAGAGAAGCAAAACAACCCCTGTAAACACCCGACCTGACCCTGAGCGGTGGACACTTGCAATGGCTTCAACGTGATTACTGTTTTATTATCTTAATATGACATCATTGGCCATCTGGCTGATGGAGGCCATAATCCTGTGCTGTAATAGTTGCTAAGAAGTGCACTAGTAAATCCCTTGGATATTTTTGAGGTTTTGCTTATGCAAATCAGAGATTTGTTCTCTCTGTGTCTATTTTCTGTTTGCTTGAACTCTTAAAATGCAGCTTTAACAATTGTGTGCCTTTCTCTTTCCTTTATTCTACGCATATGATAATAATATTGCATATTTTGGGTCCCAACAAATCTTTATACAGAGCGATGTGGGGATTGGAGAGAAAGAGAAAATGTACTTATGTTAGTGGATTTGTACAAGAGCAAACGTTGGATATATTTTGTAATCCCAAAGTGTTGCTGATTTTTTGAGTTTTGCCATTTGTGATAACCAGCATCAAATACACCATTGAATCTCCAACACCCTCCCTCGAAGCCTTTCAGTGCTCAAATACCCACTCCCAGAATTAGCTTAAAGTTAGCTGGAATTAAAAGTGCATGTGACATCACTTCCAGATGTGTAGGGCTGCCCCTACAAGGCATTGGGATTAAAAAAACATCCCTGTCTCCTGTCCCCCGCTTCCACATGTGCCCACTCCCACACTACTGCAAGGGTGGATTTAATCCACTGGTCTCTGGTGGCATAGAAATACCAAAATATCCTACATGCTAAGTCTAGAAATGTCAACCCCCCCCCAAAAAAAACATCAACCTGTATTTATTTATTATTTGAAACATTTATATTCCGCCCATCTCACCTCAAAGGGGTCTTAGGGCGGAACCCAACATATATACCACACACACTCCATGCCGGAACATCAAATAACTATAAATATACACAAATACTAAAATCAGTTAAATCTACTTTAAAATCAGTTGTTCAAAACTATCTCAAAACACCATGCTGGCTCTGACCAATGGAGCAGGTTTTCTATTATTGCCTCATTGCACTGCCCCAAAGGCTTGGTCACACAGCCAGATTTTTACCATCTTTCTGATAGACAGGAGGGAAGGGGCTGATCTCATCTTACCAGGAGTTTCATAGCCAGGGGACAATAACTGAGAAGGCCCTCTCTCGCATCCCCACCAAACGCACCTGTGACGGTGGTGGGACCAAGAGCAGAGCTGCCCCAGAAGATCTTAGTCTTCATGGTGGTTCATAAAGGGAATGCTTTCAGACAGGTAAACTGGGCCGAGGCTATTTAGGACTTCATAGGCCAAAGCCTGCACTTTGAATTGTGCCCGGTAGCAAACAGGCAGCCAGTGGAGCAGACGTAACATGGGAGTTGTGTGACCCCTGTATGCCACCCCAGTTATTAGTGTGGCTGCCTCTCATTGGAGTATTTGAAGTTTCTGAACAGTCTTCAAAGGCATCTCCATGTACAGCACATTGCAGTAGTCTATCCTGGATGTAACAAGAGCCTGTGCCATAGATTTACTTATCTATGGATCATTGTGTGTATTGTACTCCAACTCTTGTAAAAAAAATGAACCATACCTTTCTCTGAATAGCAAAAACTTTAAACTTAATCCATCCTGGGAGAATTTAAAAGAAGCACTGACACCTCAATTCTCCAGCATGACACTGCTCCTGACCTTTTCTCACAAGGAAATTGTGGTGGGATTTGTGCTTTCTCCTCTCTGCAGCATAACTTACTACTTATCCATGTTGTTGTTGTTGTTTGTTCATTTAGTCGCTTCCAACTCTTCGTGACCCCATGGACCAGCCCACACTAGAACTCCCTGTCGGCTGTGCCCACCCCCAGTTCCTTCAAAGTCAAGCCAGTCAAGCCAGTCACTTATCCATGGATCATATCAAAATCCATAATTTTGGCCACCAGACTTACTCTCCAACAAGCTCAACTTATATATGAGTGTATACAGTTAATGTGTGGCCTAGAATGTGTAAAGAAAGGGAAGGAAAACATAGAGAAAAAACATAGTCTGGGGCTTATGGTAGACGAGAAAGACTTGTCACAGGGTGAGCAGAGGGGCAAATAGAAAAAGAGGTTGATGGGCATGTCTAAGAACATGGTTTACCTACATTTCTAGCTAAAGTATTTCACTGGTTCTCATGTTCTCTTTTTCTTGTCTTCTTTTAAACTAATTTAGGTCTCCGTCCCAAGAGAACTCTGCGTTTAGTCCTTTGGACTGGAGAAGAACAAGGTGGAATAGGCGCTGAACAATACTACAAGCTGCATAAAGTAAGATGGGAATTAGTAATATTTGTCTTTTGGAAACCTTTTTGGCATTCAAAGTCCTTACAGGTAATATTTGATGGGAAGGGGAGAGTGAGATGGAAAGAGGAAATGGAAGAAAGAAGCCAGCATAAAGCCCAAAGACCTGATCAGAGCTTACATTTCTGGGCAGCAGCTCCCACAATCCTCAAACTATGCTCCCTTGTGGAGTCTGGGAATTACAGTCCAAAAGTGGCATTTCCAAACCAGACCAGAATGAGTTCTGTGAATGGAATGAATTAGTAGAGAGAGGATAAGTACAGTTTAGGAAGGTTACTGTTATGGACTATAACTATCTTCCTCAGCCTGGACTCTGTAGTACAAAAAAAAATGATTTTTTTTTCCTGAGCTCTGCAAATCAGCTTCATTATCTAATATTAAAGTATCAATATTACTAACATATATTAGCACCCGGAGCCCCCGGTGTTGCAGTGGATTAAACCGCTGAGCTGCTGAACTTGCTGACTGAAAAGAGTTGCAACCTTTTGTAAAAGGCACTCAAGACTTGGCTGTTTGGTTGTGCATTTAAGTAATCAGATCTAATTTGCCAAATAGTCACTGTTGAATGTTTTTATGTTGAATGTTTTTATATTGTGTAAATGCTATTTTAGATTGTAAGTCACTCGGAGCACCTTGGTAGAGAGCGACTAATTAAGAAATAAAGTGAAGTGAAGTGAAGTGAAGTGAAGTGAAAGGTCGCCAGTTCGACCGCTATTAGCCCCAACTTCTGTCAACCTAACAGTTGGAAAACAGGCAAATGTGGGTAGATCAATAGGTACTGCTCTGGTGGGAAGGTAACGGCGCTCCATGCAGTCATAGAATCATAGAGTTGGAAGAGACTTCAATGGCCATCCAGTCCAACCCCCTGCCAAGAAGCAGGAACATTGCATTCAAAACACCCCTGACAGATGGCCATCCAGCCTCTGTTTAAAAGCTTCCAAAGAAGGAGCCTCCACCACACTCCAGGCAGAGAGTTCCACTGCTGGACAGCTCTCACAGTCAGGAAGTTCTTCCTCATGTTCAGATGGAATCTCCTTTTCTTGTAGTTTGAAGCCATTGTTCCATGTCCTAGTCTCTCGTGCCAGCCATATGACATTGGTGATGTCTATGGACAACACCAGCTTATTGACTTAGAAATGGAGATGAGCACAAACCCCCAGAGTCAGACACAACTGGACTTAATATCAGGGAAAGCCTTTACTTTTACTTTATTAGCACCCAGGGCAATAGAATGAAATGCCAACTAGCAGTAGCTGAAGGCTTTTTTGGTTGAACTGTAATCTCTACGAAAGTCACCTTTTAACATGGCTATGAAGCTTAGAGAAGGAAAATCTGTTAAAGCAAACAGAAGTTTTCTTCCTAAGCTTCATAGGAAGCTGGCAGGAGACAAATTCATAGTGCACACAGTTAAGGAAGGGAGGGTTAAACCTCATCTTCCCTTGCACATTGCGGTCCCAAGGAAAATTGGGAGCAATTGTGCTTGTCATTTAGTTTTTAAAAAGCAGGCATGGTTGGCAACCACAGTATTAAAGTATATGTCTGATTTAGCCTTCAACTTGCTGACTTGGCTGTTTTTGTGTTTTGCAATCTGGAGATGACAATGTTTTCCTTCAATGGTTTACCATGAGCTGAGCTGCTCATATGTTCTATATGACTAGTCTCCCAAAATTATGAAAGCTGTGACTAGATCTTCTGGATATCATAAGTGGCTTTTAGAAATAATGAACTGCTTATGATTTGAGGTGAAGGAAAAGATGAGCAACAACATGTCGCAATATGTGCCTCATCTATGTTACCAATGCATTTTGTGCTCAACTGTTGGGTGGAAATAAAAAAAATGATGCTTTGATTACAAGTTTAGAATTTACTTTGGCCAATTGAATTATAGGATAGACTGAAGTTTGTCCTGATCTCCATTAACATTTTTATGATGCCATTTAAACTTTCAAATAATGCTTTAAATTTTGTTCCTAAAATGGCACGTAGCAGCATTTGTATATATTTTTTTAAAAAATGCTGTTATCTCATCAAAGCACAATCTGACATGAAGGATAACTTGATAAAATTGTCTCTGAGCCAAATGTAATCATTATATAAACATATCATGACTAACCTACTTTTAATAAGCTATAATTGCATATGAAAAAATTAAGGAAGTAAACTATATTCAAAAGAATCTGCTATTCTTGGCCCACTGTTATGAGAGATTTGCTTATATGTGCATTTATGTATATTTGCTTTGCCCTTCCAAAATTCTGTCAAGGTTCAAAGTGCTTTTCTCTCTCCTTTTCTTTCTTTTGATATAAACACACAAAGCGTTGGGTTTCCATCTGCAAATGTTTCGTTATAAATGTGTTTCCTCATACAGAAAATATTAATCTCAATCTAAAATGAAAATTCATTTGATTTTAGTGATATCACTTGGCCCAGTAGTGGAGAACATTTGGCTTTCTAGATGTTGTGTGACTCCAACTTGAGTCATTCACAGTCAGCATGCCCAATGATATGGGCTTAGAAGGAATGTGGTGCAGCAACATTTGAAGATTCACAGATTTCCCATATCTTATGTTAAAAATATTCCCTCCTTATGGAGAAGACATAAATAAACACACAGTATAAATAAATGCTTAGGCTGATTCCACACAGTCATTTAATCTGATTCATGATGTGGATCAAAATTTGGATTATATTAATAATATAATATGGTATTGTAACCTACTTATTAAAAGTAGGTTACAATGCCATATTATACAATTTCACAATGCAGATTAACTGTCTTGAACTGGATTATAAATCTACACCATCAATTAATCTGCATTCTGAAACTGCATTATATGGCAGTATAGATTCAGCCAAATAGTTCCAGTTTGCTCTGGAGTGCCTGTACAAGCACCCTGGGAACCAGCTAAAAGCTAGGATGGAGTTCACACAGGAGGAGTTCAGAGCCTACAGCATCAGGCCAATGGTGTGGATTGCTGATTAATTCTGCCTCCTCTGGCAAGATGCACTGCAAAGAAGCAGCCTATCCAATAAGGATCAGTGTTACAACAATTCAAGGCAAAACAAAAAAGAAAAAGCTGTTTCCTCTCCATGCATACATATTGTATACAGTGTTCCCTCACTTATCGTGGGGGTTCCATTCCAGGACCACCTGCAGTAAGTGAAAATCTGCGAAGTAGGGACACCATTATTAATTTTAATATTTATACATTATTTTATATATTTTATATAGTATTTTCTTACCTGCATTTCCTTACCATCTCGCGGCCCATCCCAAGGGTGTCTGCCTGCCTCCCTGGCCTCCACAGAGCTTCCGGAGCCATGCAGGCAGCAGCAGGCCAGGGAGGCAAGCCACAGACACTTCTGGGGTCTGTGGAGGCCAGGGAGGCAGACCTTTGCCACTGTGCCTCGGATCACCGCACTTCCGGGATTCCTGACCTCCCTGGCTTCCACTGGACATAAATATTTAATATTTTATTAATATTTTCAAATCCCACAAAACAGTGAGTCCTCTAAAAGCGAACCGCAAAGTAGTGAGCGAACACTGTATAGATGTTTCACCACTAGACCTTTCATCACGTGCATTCCCATTTGAATCCACATTCCTGCTCTGCAGTGGCCATACAGAGATCAGCTTCAGTAGTATTTTTGGGCTGATTTGAGAATTCCCAGATAGTTATTTAAACCCGCACTTTCTGGCTGGATACATGTTGGAGATCACATTGGGGGTGTATATTTTGTTGACCCTGCAACCTTAAGCTGGTGTCAAGGTGGATTATAGTGCCTGTGTAGAGGGGACTTGGATAGGGGGAAAACCTCATCAATGGGATCTACTTAAACTCCAGATATTGGTCTTAATGCATAGGGCAAAAAGTGGGCAATACTTGGTCCTTGGATCATATGCAGCCCTCCACCAATTTGGGAATCTCTTGGCAAGCCTTCCCAAAATGTGTGCAGAGAAAAGAGGTGCTCCTAGAGGTGGTCTTCAACTTCCAGAATCTCATGCCACTGGCAATTCTGTTTGTATCATTGTCATCACCACCATCACCACCACCACCACCACCATCTTCATCATCATCATCACCACCATCATCCCACTTTCAACTCTGCAACTGGGACTCAAGGCAGCTTACAGTATCAGAGGATCTTATCTCAAGACTTTGCTCCAAACTCCAGACATTGGTTGGGACTTAAGCATAGGGCAGAAATGGGGCAGCTGGAGGGAAAGTTGAGAGCAAACATTTTATGAATATCGATACTCCATTAAACAAAGCACCACCTAGTTCACACACCTTGATTTGCCTCCAAACAGGTTGCATGGCACAAGTAGTGCTCTTCTGGGAATGTTTTATTTTGTGTGTGGTTCAGCAGACCCAGGGGGCAGAATTGCTTTCCAGCCCCTTGCAAATAAAACTACTGTGATTATTTCTCCCCACGTGCAAGGATGAATTAGGCTCAATCTACACTGATTTGATCCGCATTGTAATGGTCAGTGTAGACTCATATAATCCAGACTCTACCTCATTGAACTGGATCATCCTGTATGAGTCTGTGCTTGCAATATAATCCAATTCAATGCAGTTAATCAACATTTGGAAACTGGATTATATGGCATTATACATGGGGCCCTACTCTAAGATTTATGTCCCCAGTTTACATGACATAGTTTAGTTACTTTCACAGTGGTTCCACTAATATCAATAGAATACAATTCAAGTAAGACAGCTATACATTGCACACACACATTTTTTATAAATCCCACTTTCTCTTTGAAAAAAATAGGATGTGACATTTGGTGGAAAGGGTAGGGCAGGAAAAGATATTCAATACATTCCTTCTGTTCTTTTATGATGCACTCCCACACTGCCTATGAAATTCCAGATGTGTGTTTGTAAGTCAAGGGATGGTGCTGGAAGATGCCACAAAGATACTTATGTGAAAGAAGAACTGAGCCTTATTTTTCCTGC